GCCATTGTTTTCCTCTCACCCTCACTGTTATCTGGTAAAACGCGTATTCTTAACCTCACTTTACAGATGGAAAATTGAGTCTCAGAGACGTTAGTGAGTTGCCTGAGAGCATCCAATCAGTAGGAGGTGGCAAAGCTGTGATTAAACCCAGGACTGATCAAAAGCTGGGGTTCTTTGCAATAGACAAATGTCTCTCAAATTTCTTTAATCAAGTCTCAGAGTAAGAAATGCAGTTTACATGAACAGCTGGTGAACATATACAGGAACATAATATAATTGAAATGCACTGTTACTGCTTAGTATATCTGCTGATGTTTTCCTTTATCGTCTACCTCATTTTTTTTTTTTATAAATGCTTCTGTATTACATCAACTTTGCAACAAACACGCTATTGGGTTACAACCATAGAAGAGCAGCATTCTGCCTCCCAATATGAAATTCTTTCACATTGGGCCTAGCCCACCCCCCCCGGAAGAGGCTGAAGCTGTGAGGAGTAGTGAGCAGGGCCCTCTGTGTACCCCACTTAGGGCCCTGCAACTTCTACCCCCCCCCCAAAGAACAGTCTTGCTCACACTCACTGTCTCCAGAGGGGGTGCTCTTGGCTGCAAGTAACAGAGACCTTAGGCAGCAATTGACTTCAACAAGAGGACTATTCATTATGTCCCATTATCAGAAGCCCCAGGGTTGGGGGTCCTGGGGTTGGAAATTCCTTGACTCGGTGCCAGCCCCTGCTCTGCCGTCCCAGCCACCTGCCGTGGCCTCTCTGGGCTCCTCGTGTGGCCCCAGGACAGCTGCTGCAGCTCACAGAGGACAGAATGGAGAAAATGTCAGCGTGCTGCACAAACAGGCTAAGCACTGTTCTGTGAAACTTCTGTTCCAGTCACATCTCTCTGTAAATATGTATATGAGTGTGTGTGGTCCTGGGTAGTGATGTAAAAACACGACCCTTTCCCTGTGCTCCTCTCCCAGGACGGCGGGAAGCAGCTCCTGGAAGGCATGTCAGACAACAAGACGCTCCTGGAGTTTGACCTGCGCCTGTCCGATGTAGCCCAGGAGAGCGAATACCTCATTGGCCAGGCCCTCTGTGCCAACCGCGAAGAAGCCCGCCAGCGGGCCTTGAATCCCAGCCACTTCTCGGCACCACTCACTGCCAAGGGCCCCGAGAACCCTGTGGGATAGGAGAGGGGACAGGGCTGGGGCAGTAACCACACCTGGGCCACTGCCCTACCCCCACCCCCCAGGTCATGCCCCCTCATGCCTGCTGCAGAGTGTCACACGGGAACACAGGGAGTGGGGGAGACCACGAAGATCCTTGGGGTGTGATCAAAGGTTGAGTGCATGTATACATAATGTGTCCTATTAGGATTATGATTGCCAGGATGTAAGTTCCCCATTCTATATAGAATAATAAATTTTCATCAAGAATCTGAACAGTGCGCAGCTGGCATGGCTCAGTGGTTGAGCATCAATTCCTGGTCAGGCCACATGCCCAGGTTGTGGGTTCGATCCCCAGTGTGGGGTGTGCAGGAGGCAGCTGATCAATGATTATCTCTCATCATTGATGTTTCTATCTCTCTCTCCCTCTCCCGTCCTCTCTGAAATATATATATATATTTTTAAAGGGTTGAGTGCATGAAGATGTGAGGAGGGGAACAGACCTAGGGTAGGGGGAGAAGGAGTATTAAATAGGACCCAGACCACAACCCAGGGAGATGGTATTACTAGAACCCCTGAAATAAATGACTTTTTCCAGGTATAAGGGGAGGCAGAGAGAACTCTGAGGGACTGTGCCTGCCCAGACTCCCCAGGGGGGCCACTCATGACCCTGACCCTCATCCCCACATCTTCCTCTTTACTGAACAGATCTTTGATCTTTTAATGTTCTCTCTCTCTCCCTCTCTCTCTCTCTCTCTCTCTCTCTCTCTCTCTCTCCCTCCCTCCCTCCCTCCCTCCCTCCCTCCATCCCTCCCTCCCTCCCCCAAATCCTGCTACAACAGAACTTTGGCCTGGCTCTTCCACCCTCGCCCCTGCAGATCCCACCTCCCTACTGCCTGACTCTGCTTAAGTAACCCAGTTTCAGGGAAGGGGAAACAGAGGCGACAGGAGGGACTCACCTGGGCCTCCCAGAGAGCTTCTCCTGGGAGAGGGAGACGGTGGGGGAAGTGCCACGCTGGGAGGGGAAGTCAGTGAGTCATCCGAAACTTTATTTTCCACCGGTTTGATTTGTACAATCTTTGCGCTTGGAAATCCATGACAGAAAGGCCACAGTGTGATGCACCCAATTGACAGAGACCTGTCTTCCCAGCCAGGCCACGCCCACCCCACAAGCCCTTGTGCCCAGGACACATGAAGCCTTCCAGGTGCCCTCCAGGAGACCCCATCCCTCTGTGGCTGCCCCCCCCACCGGGAGCCACACCCACAGAAACCACATCCACCCAGGCGGCCACGAGAGGACCTGACTGATGGCTCCAGGCTGAGCCCCATCTCCCATCCTCCTCAGGCTGAGGGACTCCAGAACCTCCAGATCTGTTTTCAAAGGGTGGGCCATGGGCTGCCACCACAGCCTCAGGGTGCCTGCTCTCTGGGGACTCCTTCCAACAAGCAGGCGCTGAGCAGAGCACCAAAGGGGGCTTGGGAGTGACTGCACATGTGTGCCTGTCCGGGCAACCTAGAGTCTGTCTGTGCCTGACACCCTCTGACAGTTCCAGAGTGCAAATGCGTAGGTGTGAGGGTGAGTGTGTGTGTGAGTGTGTGTGAGTGTGTGTGTGTGTCATAGCCACAGCTGCTAGCAGAGGTTCTAATTAGAGAAACAAGAACATTCAGTGTAAAGTTTAATTTTAGAGAGTAATTAATTTTCTGGTTTTCCTTTTCCCTGGCAATCAATAAAGCTACCAAGGAAATAGACCAAAGAATCGGTGTCTAAGTCTGTGCGTGTGTGGGAGGTGAGGCTGTCTGAGACCTGGGCAGAAATGGTCAGTCCAGGCAAAAGTAGTAATAGGGCCTCCCTTTCCCTCCTCCCAGCTTTGACTCTGTCTCAGAAACGAGCCCGAGGGAGGAGGAGCTGAGTTCCTCCCTCCTTGGAGCCAGGAGGGGGCCAGGCTGCCGCCACACAAGGGCAAGACAGGCCAGCTGGCCGAGGACTGGGGCCTGAGGCCACAGCTCACCATCTGTACCTCACAGATGTCTGCTCAGAGGAGAAAGGGGTGCTCCGACCGCCAGGCCCCCGAGGAGCACAGACTCAGGGTCCAGGCGGGTTCAGTGCTGGCAGGCAGGCAGGCACTGCTGCCCAGGGAATTATAATGGCAGCTGTTCCCTCCTGCCCAAGCCTCCCCTTCGGCCCCCTCTCCCTTCCCATTCAGCCATCTCCATGGGAAAATAAAGCCCAACCGCAGTGGGCCACAGAGTGTGGTGGCCCCACAATCTGTGCCTCCCAAGCTTCCCCCAGGAAAGGAGGGCAGGGGAGCCAGAGATGTTGCATAGGTGCAGGCCATGCCTTGGAGGCTGCAGGCCCAGCCTGGCTGGAGGGAGATGGGAGAGGCTGCCGGAGGGGAGGGAGGAAGCTCTGATGGATGGCTCCGGAGAACTGAGAAGCATCAGGGCTGAGCAATGTCAGGCAGCCCAAGGGTTATCCTCTCCAGCTTGAAATATGAGCTCCACCCCTAGGCTCTAAGTCGGCTGTGAAAACTTTAGCCGGGAGAGTTGGGAGGGTGGGGGTGGGAGGATTGTACACCGACATGCACACTGAAGCACGTAAGGGTGAGAGTGTGGGGAGTGAAGGCGACATCAGAACTCTGGGGGGGACCAGATGTGGGGCCAGGGCCCTGTGGTGGTGATGGCAGGACGCCCCTTTGAAGAACCTGGGACACAGCAGGACCGCTTCAGTTCACTGGGATAGGGGAGGGGGAAGGGGGCGGGCAAGATTTAGAGAATTCCTGGCTCTGACCTGCCACGGGAATTGAGTGTTTCTCCAACTGGGACTTGTGACAATGTCCTCAGCCCTGCAGGGGCAATGTGTGGGCCACCCCCTTTCACTCCGCCCTCCACTGCCCTCTCCTCTGACTCCCTCCCATCTGCTTCCAGAGCGCCCCGTCACTCAGGTCCCTCTCCCAATGTCCCGGCTCCGTCACGCACCTTGGCCAGCTTTACGGAATGCTGCGTGGCTGGGATCTCACCCCCTCTGCAGGGAGTGCCCTCCCAGAAGCCAGGGGAGGCGGCTGCTGCCCAGAGGCCTCAGAAAGGACCGAGGGACACTGTCCTGCCGCTGGCCCCCTGGCAGCAGCTCTCAGCGCCAGGGAGCAAGAGGGGAGGGACGGGAGGGACATTTGTGTGGGGCGCGGTCTCCCTGGGACCCAAACTCCAGGGGCCCAGTGAGATAAACAACAGAGGTGGGCGTGGCAGAAAGGAAACCCCGGTCTCTGGGGCACGCGCCAGGAGGAGGGAAGCAACACGTCCAAGGTTTTGAGATGGGGGCTGACACCGGCCCGGCCTCAGACCCACTGAATCCATTAGCTGGTTGGAAGCCAGCCCGGCTGTTCGCCAGACCACCGCCCCTCGGTAGAGAGTGGGGCTGGGGAGCCAGGCAGTGAAAGAGGGAGAGCCCCAATTTCCCTTCCCCGCCGCCCCTGAACCTCCCCAGCCGCACAGCAAACGCCTCTCACTCGAGACGAGGCCCAGTGCGGGTCCCACAGCACAGTCGCCACCTAACAGTCAGAAGATCGTAGAAGGCTGGGCGGGAACCTGGAGTGTGCGTGTAGGGAGGAAGGGGTCCCCTTAGGAACTCGGGGGCGGGGCTGGAAGGAGCCGACTCCGCCCCCGTGGAATTCTCTGCCGACCCCTCCCACCCATCTTTCTCGTTATGTACAGGGAAGGCTGGGGTCTCAGCCCCATGGGGTCTTCCCGCTCACCCTTGCCTCCCTCCACCCGCTCCGTGCTCAGCACAGCCTGTCATCATCGAGACACAGTCCGGCAAGGGGCAGCAGGGAGGCCAGCGGGCTTGTCGAGAGCCATTGGTCACAGTGAGGTCTCCACGCAGGAGCCGTGGCGGTGCAGCGGCCGGTGGCTGTGGCCCAGGCACCCCTCCTGCCGGTGCACGATGAGAACCGGAAAGTAGAGGGCGTCGTGGTAGGGCGGCGGCGGCCCGGCCTCCTCCTCGTCGTCCTCGTCGTCCCCCATGCTGGCCTGGCTGGACAGCCGCGTCTGCTCGGTGGGGCAGCTCGCCTCGTTGACGCTCCCGCTCCGGCTGCGCCACAGGCAGCTGCGCCGCGAGCCGTAGAGGCGCCCGAGCGAGAAGCGGCTGCCCCCGCAGCCCGGGCCTCCGCCGGGCCCCGGGCCGGCCCGCGGGCTGGCGCAGATGCTCAGGGCGCTGCGCGAGAAGATGGACGAGCTGCTGACGGCGCGCT